CAAATTTGGCAGTAATTCATCCAGTGATTTTTGAGTTATGTTAATCCCACAAACAAACATTACGTTTTTATTTATATAGATTTGCATGTGCACATATACAGTCCAGTGCATAACAAAATGGATTTTTTTTAAAAAAAAACCCTTCTGCCCGAATGTCTCCCATTTGCCCTCCATCTTGTTCCGATACAGAGGGAACCTATGAGGACAGTGGGAAAGGAAATCCCGGGACCCACAGGTTCTCAGATCTCGGGCTTTTTATCTTCCATTTAAAATCCACATTTTGGAAGTGCCCCTAGAGATTCCAAGAGTAGTGTTCCTTCTAGGAATGTATAGGTCTTCCACTGTGTCTTTACAACAGACATTGACCACAAAGTCACACAAGAAGACCCAGAGATTCTGAAAGAGAACATTTTAATCAAATCAACTAAGAATCAAACATGCACAAATCAAATTTACAAATATGGAGGACAAATTATTTCAAACACAAACAAGAAAAACTATCCCAGGAACTCTTTGACCTGGGGGGAAATGTCCAACCAGAGGGGAGGAGAAAGAGTTAATTGTTGTTTTGTTAGCAATCTCCCTCCACCTACCCCCTTTGTGTCTCAAACACAGCCCAAGAAGCCTTCAAAAATTATTTATGAAGGAAGAAGTAGGGCTAGACAAGCTTACTCCCATCTCAGCAAGTTGGATTCACCATAAGTTTACTACTGTCTTCAGAGATGTGTGATAATGCCCAGAGTGAGGTCAAGATATCTAAAACCATTAATGAGGAATACACAAACTATGGCCCTTTTCACACGGGCCCAAATTTGGTGGGTTTTTGTACTTTCACCATGGAACCAGCCTGCTCCCATCACACACTTCTGGAGCAGCTCCATGGAAAACTGTTTCAAAAACCCTGCCACCACCAAAAAATTATTGATGGCTCACAATGAGAGGCTTCCCATCTTTCCATAAGAAAAGGTGAGTTGAGCTGGCTTACGGAGGTGATGAGGTAAGGGGGAAGCCAGGGCCTTGCCAGGCATGGGGCAGCAGATCCCCATGCCCCCTGGGCAGGCACCACCGGGATCATCAGGATCCATAGCAATACTCAGCGATTCAGGTGGCACATATGAAGACGTCCTAGGAGAGGATGTAGAACTTTGCTTTTCTCTGAATCCACTGGGAAGGGCAAGATTCGACTCTCTTCTCTCCTCTCCCCACTGCTGAGTTGAGTGCAAGCTACTTTTACACTCTGAATGCAGTTGACATCAAGGGAAGTAAGCTGTGGGCAAGGGGGAAAAGTGGAATTCAGAAAAGAGGAGTACTGGGAAATTTTAAAATAGATGGAAAAGCAGGATAGGGTTAATTGAGACTGTCCCTGCCAAATCAGGATAGTTGAAAGGTGGATCCATGAGTGAGGAAACTCTGGATGAAAACCACGAGGAACAGCTCTACATACACAGAAGGGAATGTAAAAATGAGAGTGGAGAAATCAAGCCGTTAGTTTAGAACATACAGACATTCAAACCACCATCCCCTTAATAATCCCTAAATTCTAACAATAATTTGCCCATCACAGATGATGTACTTTACATTTAATCTACTGATCCCAGAATCCTCCCAGTCACATGGCCACTGACTATACTGCCTGGGACATTCTGGCAACTGTGGGCCAAAATTTTATGTATTTATTTAGAACATTTGTATCTTGTCCTATTCTTGACCTCTGAAGAGGGACTCAGGGTGGCTTCCAACAATATAAAAACACCAATTAATTACACAATCACATAATTTGATAATAAATATACATTTAAAATCAGTTCGCTAAGTTTAAAACATGCTCCAAATCAGTCCAAAAAATGTGATTCATACAATCTCATCTAAGCCAATAAAAAACGTCTATTCTGTGAACGCTTGCTTCCACAGCCAAGTCTTAAGTGTCTTGTGAAAAGTCAGGAGGGAAGGAGCAGATCTAACAACTTTAGGGGGGGAGTCCCACAGCCAAGGGGCCACCACGGAGAAGGCCCTCTCTCTCATCCCCACCAAATGCGATGGTGGCAGGACTGAGAGCAGGGCCTCCCCAGATGATCTTAAAGTCCTTGATGGTTCATAGGAAGAGATATGTTCGGACAAGTAAAGTGGGCCAGAGCCATTTAGGGCTTTATAGGTCAAAACCAGCACTTTGAATTGTGCTCAGAAGCTAATAGGCAGCCAGTGGAGCTGGTGTAACAAGGGTATTGTGCGCTCCCTGTACCCCACTCCTGTACGTAACCTGGCTGCTGAGCATTGGACTAGCTGAAGCTTCTGAGCAGTCTTCAGAAGCAATCCCACATAGAGCATGTTGCAGTAGTCTATTCAGGATGTAACAAGAGCATGGACCACCATGGCCAAGTCAGACCTCCAAAGAAGGTAATATCAAAATTGGGAGTGATTGCCATTCAAGATACTCAGGAGTGACTATGCATAAGATAATATTGTAAACCTCCAAGGCGGGCTGCATTTTTTTCAGGGCCAGCATTACAGTGCCAAAAGAAAGCCACAAGACTTTCCTTCTCTCCTGACTGACTGACAGTCTCTCTTTGCAGCCTTGACAATCTAAACCTCAGCAGCATTTGAACTAGTCTGCTTGACACCAGCGTAAAAACACACGACTTCTATATGGAATTCCTGAGTATTTGGTGCAAGGCCAAAACGTTTTCAGTAGAATGCCTTGCTTCTTTCAAGCAAGTATACTTTCTTTTTCCTCCAGTCATGGAATGTATAGAAAAATATGTGTGGGGTTTCCTGTTCTATATGCAGGAATGTATATAGCACAGCAAACAATATGACACATATTTATGAGCATGAAAACAGAACTTGGTATCATAGTAAAAAAAAATTACAGTCATGCGGCATAACGCTTTCAAAATTCCATGCTCTTGATGATTTCATGGGCTGCTGAATATATAACATTAAATCCAAACTTGGAAATGTTACTTGTTTTATTACTAACTCCCAGAATCCTCTACGGCACCATGATCCAGATCACAATTTCCTATTAAATGCATAGGACAGTTAGTGAAATCCAATGGCTTCCACCAGAATGAGCAGAAGAAACAAATATCCCTCAGTACATGCCTCATGATATCTTAAAATATTACTGTTGATGGATTTCCCAACCCTTTTGATCAGAGTTTTGGGGTACATAGAGGTCTGCAAGAGAAAGAAGACTTTGCTAGTTCTGATGATGTGCATCTTACTATTCATTTTTACTTTTCTCAGATGTGGATAAGGACTGCAGTGGACATGGAGGGGAAAGATAATCCCTTCCCATCTGTGCCATTTCAAATTCACACATCACATGCACACAGCAGGGATAGTTTAAAACAGAGCTATTCAAAGTACAACAACAAGTATAACAAATTAGCATTTGCAAGGCTTGCTAAACAAGCTGATTTTCCTATTTATGAATACAGCTGAAGTATCTTCTGCAGAGTCCATTGTAAACACTACACAACAGATTTGTGTAAATATCTAAAACTGCCACATTCAGAAAAAAATTACTGTTGCCAAATTTTGAGACCCCAATATTGAGCTAAGGGGACCCCATTTGGGGTAAAGTTAAGAGGCAAACCACCCATTCCCTCTTTTGGTGAGTATTTTGGGTTTCTTTGATGAACAAATATATTATGAGTGGGCAATTGTAGCTTTAGCTCTATAAGTCACATAAGCCCTAACCAGTAGAGCACGTAGCAAGGGGGCACAGTTGTCTACTACAGGTTTGTGTAGTGTCCACACATCTTCAACAAAATCACACCATTCTCTATATCATCATGGACCGGGACTGTGGCGCAGCAGGCTGGGAGTCAGCAGCATTAAGATCACTACTGACCGAAAGGTCATGAGTTCGAAGCCAGCCCAGGTCGGAGTGAGCTTCCTACCAATTTGTGTAGCTTGCTGTCAACTTTTGCAGCCCAAAAGACAGTTGCATCTGTCAAGTAGGAAATTTAGGTACAGCTTATGTGGGGAGGTAAAATTAACTCATTTATGAGATCATAAAAATATCCAGCAAGCATGCAAAGAATGAGGAAGTACTTCATCAGTGTCCACCAGGGACAGCTTCCCTGGTGGCCTGAATACCCTCAAGAAAAAGCTGGAATGTTAAAGTGCCTCTGTGTCTGTCTATAAATGTTATGTGTCTATGGCATTGAATGTTTGAGAAGGGCAGAATATAAATACTGTAAATAAATAAATAAATAAATAAATAAATAAATAAACTGTTTTGATATCTGTGCCTTATAGTGACTCATTTAAGATGAGAGATTGGGGGAAACAGTGTGGTCTTTTCTACTACCTGTTGCAGATTTGGCAGCATTTCTGTACAAAATGGTCTCAGAGAACCCCTTCCTTGGATTACCCACCTTCTCTGTTGGTAATGCTGCATTTGGTACAATCTGTGCCACCTCCCTAAAGCAAACAGTTTATCATCCTTTGTTTTTAATTCTCTTATTAATGAAAAGGGGTAGCCAATAGACTGCAAGGAAAGGGAACTGAAGGGTCAGGAGTTCCAGGGGCTGACAAAGGACCCCCTGCTTTAGTGTGGGCCTTGACAGATACCCGGTGATGCCAGCCCTTGTTGCCAGCTCCATCCTTATTAGGTCCCAACTAAAGGTGCAACAAATTCTAGTCTGAGCACAATTCAGTACACACAAAGGCAGAACAGCACAAGGAGAGAGCCTCATTCTAATGTATTTGTATCAAATAGTCCTTTCTATGTACCAAGTTCTTGTGCAGAGATGTGTTTTTAAGATGCATATAAAATGCTTCTCGGTCAGCAAGTCAAGTCTTTGCTCTGAACGACCCATTGATGAGAAGCTACACTGTGGTGTTTTTCCTCCCCCCTCCTTTTTACCCTAAAATGTGAGTTTGCTGCCTATTATTCAATGCTGTTTTGTTAAATTAGGGAACAGAGAGTGTTTTATTCTTTCCCAGAAGTGCCCTTTCAGATTTCTGTAATTGCGTGTTCTAATCCCCAGGAAGCCAGGGAAGATCGGGATCAGTCACGATTGGACTCCATGGTACTGCTCATTTTGAAACTGGACCAGCTGGATCAAGATATTGAGAATGCCCTCACTGTAGGGTCCTTGCCATCCAGCATGCTGGCACAAACACGGAAACCCGTACCTGTGAGCATACTTGTTTACTCATCTTTTATCTAGTTCTGTATTTACCTATTTCATTCTATTCTCTTTCCCTTTCTCTCTCTCTCTCTCTCTCTCTCTCTCTCTCTCAATTGCGGTGTGCTTAAGTATCATGTTTTAAAAATTTCTGATTCCTAGTTAACCATTTGTTTCTTCTTGATCACTCTCTATAATGAAAGATTAATGAAACTGCCAGACCAAAACATGTGAAAGGTACAATATTTAGGAGCTATCAGACTGTTTCCAAAGCTTTTCTATTCTTAACATCAGATGGATAAGGCTGAATGCAAAATGAGAGTGCCAAAATGAGATATCTATAGTGATTTTGTTCCACTTTTCAGGAAAACCCAACACCTCGTTTATGTAGCTATTTATAAGCAGTTTAGAAAGTCTGGCTCTGTTACAATAATAATCATGGTATACCAAATTATTTGTAATTTAAGATAAGCATGAAATCCAGGAGAAACTATAATGATATGGGAAGGGATGAGGCAAATCACTATTTCTGAAACGCCTAGTTAGTTTTTAAAGTTGTTTTGAAATGAACAGCCAATTAGTTATATAACACTTTTAAGAGTTATATAGCACCCTCCTATCTTTGGAAGATGTTTAGTTTTTTATGCATCAGAGGTGGGAAGTGTTCCCTCGATATGTCATTAGGCTAAAATCCATAGCATTCTTTCTCATTGGTTATATCAGGGCTTATAGAAGTTGCTATTCAACAACATCCAAGGAGCCACACGGTTCCCATCGTGTGAGTTTTCGTTCTCTTTGTTTTCCAGTAAAAAGCTCATCTCATCTGTGGGCATCACATTCACAGCAAGTGAGCAACTGCCTGTTTAAGATCTGTCCCTGTATGTAAATAATAATAATAATAATAATAATAATAATAATAATAATAATAATAATAATAATAAAATGGTCAGTGTAGGTGGGATCTTAGTAACGGATCATTCTGCAACTTCAACCTTTTTTTTTTTTAAAAAAAAGAAGAAGTTGACTGTACATATGCTGGAGGACCTACAAATGCCCCAGAGAAGTATTCTCTCCAGGAATGTCTAGGTCCTACTTCATGATCCTAGGTGATCTAGTGATTCATTGAGAGAATATATTAGTTAAATATGCAAAAGTGCAACCCAAAAACATATTTTCCTGCTTCAACCTGAACAATTTATTAGTTACTAACAGCTAGACTTCCAATAAGACTATTACACAAATGTCATAATCTGTGTCCTACCAGTGAGGTCAGAGGCAGCCCTAGGTAATTTTCAATGGTAAGCAAACAGTATTTTGGCACACACACCCCCCCCCCCCCCCCCCCCCCCCCCCAACCAATCACTGATATATATTTTTTGTTTGTTGTGGGAGTTCTGTGTGCCATATTTGGTTCAATTCCATCATTGGTGTTCAGAATGCTCTTTGATTGTACTATACATCCCGTAACTACAACTCGCATATGTCGAGGTCTATTTTCCCCCAAGAGTGCCTCAAGAGCGCCCCTGGGCAAAATCAACTATACTGCAAATGCTTACTTTGCGTAATGGATTGAGCTGCCCCTGAGTGAGGTCAACACATTGAGAGAACTTAGTAGAGGACCTTCTCTGCTATCTTGCCTCATTGAGGAACATCTTGCTCTTAGAAGCCTGATTGGCAATGCCAAGATAGTTTTCATTCTGATGCCAAATAAAAAAATATATTTTTATTAATGTCTTTGAGGTCTAAGCAATTTTATACAAAGCTGCCCATATGCATGGTTTTTAATTGTGTCAGGTGGTTTACACTGTTTTTGAACAGTCTTGTTTAAGCTTGCCAAATTGTTTAATATGCTTTTAGTCTGTTTAAATTGGTTTTTACAGTTTTAAATTGCTACCATTGATTTTGTGGCTCAGAGATCTTTCAATACAGGGCCAGATATAAATATTTCAGTAAATAAATACCAGTGACTAACCAAATATGGTAACACTTTTCAATAAATCTTGCAATCTCTTTTCAATAAATCTTGCAATTTAGACCAGACCTTTACAATCTGGTCCCTCCAGATGTAGACAACATTGTCCCGGGAAATCTAAAAATTGTAATCCTACCCAACTGCAGAGAACCAGTTTGAAGAGAGTGGTTTCAGTCCTTTGCACATTTATATATACCTTACCTGGATCTCCCAGTGGTGCAGTGGGTTAAAGTGCTGAGCTGCTGAACTTGCTGACCAAAAGGTCGCAGGTTCAAATCCGGGGAGTGGCATGAGCTACAGCTGTTAGCCCCAGCTTTTGCCAACCTAGCAATTTGAAACATGCAAATGTGAGTAGATCAATAGGTACCATTCCGGCAGGAAGGTAATGGTGCTCCATGCAGTCATGCTGGCCACATGACCTTGGAGGTATCTACAGACAATGCTGGCTCTTCAGCTTAGAAATGGAGATGAGCACCAACCTCCAGAGTTGGACACAACTAGACTTAATGTCAGGGGAAAACCTTTACCTGTTATATACCTTGCCTACACTCTATGCTGTGTTCATTGTGCACAACTGTGGACTGAACCCTGTCCTTCCCTGTAAAAGACAACAAATGACTCTGATGCATGGGTGTTATCAAGAATTTTCAACTGCATGAGCTTCTAGATAATGAAGTTACTCCAGCTGCACAATGAGTTGCAGATTTTAACAAAGGTTTCAGATGTTTCCAGAGACAAAAGGTGGAGATGGAATATAAGTTGCACAGGAAATGCCAAGATAAGACATACCAAAATATGAATCTCCTGAAAACTAAATAAAGCTGAATATTTATTTTTGAATGTAAAGGCAGTGATTTATGGTATAGATCAGTGTCAGAAGAGCAGTTATTAGATACTTTTCATTTGGACAATAAGGTCATATAGGAGAAAAGAAAGGAGGAAATTGTACACTTATTAAATCAATGCATGTCTTGGTGTGTTTCTGGTAGCTAGTAGCATTGTAGTCACTTCAAGAGTATGTGCATCTATTTTAAAAAGTCGTCTTTATTTTTTAAAGGATCTGGGATTATGTACAGACAGTGGAATAGATGTTGCTACACTGAGTCATCTGCAAACAAGCATACCGCCATCTCTTCCTGCTCCCCATGGTATTGATCAAACATTTCCCATTCCAATGGCTGGATCTGGAGCTAAACCAAAGGCAGGGGTGAGTTAACAAACCTTACATGTAACACTGATTTCATGCTCATAAAATAGTGATGACACAGGGACTGCTGACAGTATCTTGCAAGCTACATTGTATTTTCTTCCTTACAAGGATACATGTTGGGAATGCTCCCAGAAAATGATGGTGTTGTTAAAAGTTGGAGAGGCTTTGTGTACTTTTAATGGTTGTGTTGTTGTTGTGTGCTTTCAAGTCATTGCTGTCATATGGAAACCCTAAGGCAAACCTATCAGAAGAAGATGTCTTTACCTCCCTCTCTGGCTGAAAAACTGTAACTTGCCTAAGGTCACTCAGTATTTATTTATTTATTTATCGTGTCAGGAGTGAACCAAAACAGTTGTATTGCATTAAAAACAAACAAACAAATAAACAAACACACAAAGTTGCAGACTTGGTATTCTATTAAATGTCCTTTGACTAGTAGCTGGCCGCTTGGAGTGTCTTTGGTGTTGCTGCAAGAAGGTCCTCCATTGTGCATGTGGCAGGGCTCAGGTTGCATTGCAGTAGGTGGTCTGTGGTTTGCTCCTCTCCACACTCACATGTCATGGATTCCACTTTGTAGCCCCATTTCTTAAGATTGGCTCTGCATCTTGTGGTGCCAGAGTGTGGTCTGTTCAGTGCCTTCCAAGTTGCCTAGTTTTCTGTGTGCCCAGGAGGGAGTCTCTCATTTGGTATCAGCCATTGATTGAGGATCTGGGTTTGAGCCTGCCACTTTTTGACTCTCGCTTGCTGAGATGTTCCAGCGAGTGTCTCTGTAGATCTTAGAAAACTATTTCTTGATTTAAGTCGTTGGCATGCTGGATAATACCCAAACAGGGGGTGGGCCAGAGATGTCACTCCTTGGTCCTTTCACTATTGGTTGCTACTCCCCAGCGGAAGTCAGGTGGTGCAATACCGACTAAACAGTGTAAACAGATACCCCATAATAATGCGCCATGTCTCATTAAGAGCCACATCCACTGTTTTAGTGTGGTGAGATCCCACTGATTGAGCAGGGATTTGAACATTGGTCCTGAGAGTTGTAGTCCATCACTCCAACTACTACAGCACATTGGATCTCCTCGGTTGTGTAATAGAGGACACTTTGGTAAATGTTGCTTGTCGCACATCCCATAAACAAGTACCGTCTGCCAAAGAGAGATGGCCCCTCACCAAATTACAAATCTCAGGATTCCAGAGCAGAGTCATGGCAATTAAAGTGATGTCAAACTGCATTTCATTCTGCAGTGTAGATGCAATCTCAGAGCCAAGCCATATATAATGTGGCCATCTGTATTGTGTCTGACAAAATCCCAGAGTTACAGAATACAGGTTATGTGACCAAATATTTTTGCTTTTCTCTTTCTTTGGCCTTGACTCTTTCTTTTAAATCTGCTGGTTTCTGTTTAAATCCGATTAGAACATTTCTCAGAATTATTTAAACCACAATTCCTGGAATATGAATTATGAATTGATACCTTTCAGCTCTGAATGGAGCATGGGCAAAACAAAAATGTTTTGAGCTTTTCATGTTTGCATTGATAAGCAAACAACAACAATGTATGTGCATTTGTCTTTGGACTGTAAGATCAAATACCAGTCGTGTTTCATGTGATTGTTTCTTGAATGTTCATTTCTGAAATGCAATGTTGTGTGTTATTGTATTGTTGGCTGAAGCATATGGTATAAAATCAGTAGACCACCTTCAACCCAGTCGCTCTCGATCCCACCTGCTTCACAAACACATTTGGCGGGGATGAGAGACAGGGCCTTCTCTGTGGTGGCCCCTCGGCTATGGAACTCCCTGCCTAGGGATATTAGATCAGCCCCCTCCCTCCTGACATTTCAAAAAAGAGTGAAAAGAGTGAAAAGAAGACAAAGTTTTAATAATTTTTATTATTCATTTTTTATGGTTTTTAAATGTTATGTAATTTTTTTGTTTTTTGTGTTTTTAATTATTTTTTGTTTTATTTTGTTTTATTTTTGTTTTTGTTTTTTGTGGGGTGTTTTTTTGTTTTTGTTTTGTTTTTGTTTGCTTTTTACCAATGTATGTATTTTTATATATGCCATCTAATTGTTGCTGACTAGTACGCCACCCTGAGTCACTTTCGGGCTGATATGGGCAGGATACAAATGTCATAAATAAATAAATATTCAGTGTCGGCTTCCCCAGAGTCAGAAATCTTTGTGCCTCCTCACCATCTCTTCTCTCCTCCATTCCTTTTTCCCCCTCCTTTGTTTTTATCTCCATTTTCTAATTCCCAACAGTCATATCTAGTCTTTCTAGGCAGTAGGGATCAACCATTCAATATCAGCTTCTCTTTCTGGATTGCCATTTTCTGGTTCACAAAATCCAGAAAGCTGGATATCCCAATCTTCAAATCTGTGATATTACAAAAGGCCAGAAATGAAGAAATCAGGACTATCAAGGACAGTTTTACTAGCCTGGTTTGAAATGAGGTACAAGCATATATACCAAGCCTCAAAGCTCCCTGTTCTTTAGCAATAGCTAGTGGCAGATACAATATCATACTGCTTGCTCCAGAAAAAAAAATAGTTTAAAAAATAATCCATTTTATTAATAACCCTGAGATGTATGCCTTCAGGATCCTTTTTAGTATGAATGTCTAGTTTTGGTTTCAGTCTCAGAAGCACATACTTATATTATTATCATTATACATAATATTTTCATTATAATACAGAAGATTTATGTGATGTTCTTGGTGTTTTAGTTATTTATATGTCTGTTTCTTTATTAACACTCCTTCCTGATGAATGTTCATGTTGAACTCAAGCTTCTGCTATTGTTCTTAGTTTCAGCAATGTTTTTTTTAATAATATTTTATTAGGTTTTTCATATAAAAGATAAGACATAGAAACAACAGGTAACTGGGAAGACAAACATAGAACATGGGGTATACAGACATAAGTATAACATACATGGGGTGTAAGATACACTTCATAAGGTACAAATTTAGTAATATAGCCTATAGACAATGACCCCAATAGTCCCTCATCCAACCCCCCCCTCCCCTCCCCAATGTTAAAACCGACTTCCCCTCCTATTCATTCATTCTTATATCATTTCTTGTTACAGTGTGTCTATTATATTACTAACATCCTTCATTTTTCAGACATTAATAATTTCCTATCCCTGAACTTCCTTTTCTACATAATTCTTAAATAAGCTCCAGTCAGTCCTCTCCGATCCTCTTCCATTATTCTGCCTCAGCCAATAAGTAAGTTCGTCCATTTCTTGGATGTCAGTCACTTTATCCCACCATTGCATTATGGTAGGTATCTTGTCTTGCTTCCACAAGCTGGCGAATGTCATCCTGGCTGCAGTTGCTAAGAAAGTAAATAACTTTTCTGAATTATTATCAGGAAAAACAGAGTTGTCATACATTCCTAATAAATACGCTTCTGGGCACATTGGGTATTTTATCTTAAGGATTTTCCTACATTCATTATGTATTGCCTTCCAGAACTCTTTCGCCTTTGGGCATTGCCACCATAGGTGATAAAAGGACCCTTCATTCACTTTACATTTCCAACACCTGTTATCTACGTTCCCATACATTTTTGCTATCTTTTGTGGGGTTAGGTACCAACGGTGTAGCATTTTCAGCCAGTTCTCTTTTAGATCTGAGGCGTAGGTATATTTTTAGTTTCAGCAATGTTGATTGCACCCTGTTCATTCAGATACTAGAGCAGGGGTTCTCAAACTGTGCTCTGGGGAGCCCTTGGGACTCCGCGAGAGGTGCTCAGGAGCTCCGTGGGCACTCCACCTCCTCTGGGGTTTCTGCTGTTGTTGTTGTTGTTGTTGTTGTTGTTGTTGTTGTTGTTGTTGTTACAAAGGCTGGGTGGCCATATGTTAAGAGTGTTTAATTGTGCTTTTCCTGCATGACAAAACAAGTTCAGACTGAATGGCCCCAGAGGTCCTCCACTGAAATACTGTTTATGTTGGTTAAAATTGTAAAGGTAATTGTTAAGTCCAGTCATGTCCTACTCTGGGGGTTGGTCCTCGTCTCTGATTCTAAGCCGAAGAGCCAATGTTATCCATAGACACCTCTAAGGTCATATGGCCAGCATGACTGTATGCAGTGCCGTTACCTTCCCACTGGAGCGATACCTATTGATATACTCACATTTGCATGTTTTCGAACTACTAGGTTGGCAAAATTTGGGGCTAACAGTGGGAGCTCAATGCCACTCCCTGGATTCGAATCTGTGACCTTTTCGTCAGTAAGTTCAGCAGCTCAGCAGATTAACCCACTGCACCACTGGGGGCTTAAAATTGTTCTTCATTTTAAATTATTATTATTATTATTATTATTATTATTATTATTATTATTACTTGAAACATAACAAGATGAGTCCACAGCAGATATTCTGCTGGCTGTTGTATTGGATCACACGTCGGACACTTCCCAAGTGTCTAGGACTGTGTGATGTATCAGTGAATAATGTGTGCAGATCCCAGTAAAGTGGCCTTTTGCAGCTGGAAGATGGTAATTTTGTCAGCGCCGATTGTGTTTAAATGCAGGTCAAGTTCTTTAGGCACTGCACCCAGTGTGCCGATCACCACTGGGACCACCTTGACTGGCTTGTGCCAGAGTCTTCGCAGTTCGATCTTTAAATCCTCATATCATGTCAGCTTTTCCAGTGTTTCTCTTCAATCCTGCTGTCACCTAGGATTGCAACATCGACAATCCATATTTTTTTTTTAACACAATCATTAGGTCAGGAGTATTGTGCTCCAAAACTGTCTGTCTGAATTCGGAAGTCCCAGAGTAGCTTGACATGTTCATTCTCTGTAATTTTTTCCACCAGTTCTTTGTTGCAGGCAGATGGTATTTGTGGCACAAGTTTTTTACTTATTTATTTCCTATATTTATACCCCACCGTTCTCCCCCCGAAGTTCCAATGAATCATCTGAGTAACAGTGTTATGCCTCTGCTTGTAGTCTGTCTGCACGATCTTCTTGCTATTATTATTCTTAC